AAACGATTAGACAACAACTGACTGACGTAGCTTCAGCGGTTGTCATGGTTTTGATACGCGGAAAGCAGGTCGCATGATTGTGGATACTCGCACGGGTGTGGAACCACACAAGCTTATTGGTTAGATGGATACAGCGATGACGTTTTTAACTTTCAGTGGTTGGACGCGACTTGGTGAATCCAACGTAGTAGAGTCTTAGTAGAGTTCCTTGGATAACAGTCAGTGGCGGCGCGAAATTGTGGAGGCTTTGAAGCATATTGTATATTTTAAATATTTTTACCACCACCCTTAATAAGTAGCAGTGGCCAAAGAGCTTTCAAACATGAAGCAATTGCTTCAAATAATCCTATATCCCGCCGCCACTGATAACAGTCGGAACATGAGATTAGTGGTGATCAAAATTGGTCTTGGTCTTGTGGTCTCGCAAGACTTTAGCTGCAAGACCAAAACCAAGATTAGGTTTGCAAGACCAAGAATAAAACAAGAACAACATTGCAAGATTCTTACAATTTTTTCCCCAAAAACACATTAGTGTATTTATTTTTCATTAAATAATAATTTATAAAGAAAATAATAAGAAATTATTTTTATTGTTATTAAATTTGATCAGTATTCAAGAAAATGGAAAATTGTTGAATAAAAGATTAGAAACGATTGGAAATTATTAGAAATAATACAACAAAATAACATAGTTGTTTCATACTAACAAATTAGTAAAATTATTTTATTTCCCCAAAATCGATAAAAACGTCAAAAGTTGCTATACGAGTATACTACTAATATGATAATTTTGTCAATAATAAACCTCTACTTTGATTTGAATACACTATTAATTGCTAAAAATCATTACGAACTATGGTAGATATCATTTTAATTGTGAGTACGTTTTTATTTTCCTCTGAAGTTTGTGTAATATTTCTGTATTAAATATTGTGTACCTAAACTAGTGTCCTACCTACGTATACATTGAGTATAGCATGTCATTACTGATTACTGTCGTAAACTTATAGTCTGTTGGTAATACACTTATGTTTAATGCGTATGCTTCAGCTTTTTCTTACCTTTACCTAATAAAACATATATTAATTACAAATATATATTAAAATTAGTGACATCGAAAACGTAGTGGATAAAATCGAAATTGTAAAATGATGTAAAAGACAAAAATCGTTTTAAAAGTAAATTTAGTGAGTATTTTGAAGTAAAAAGTGTAAACAGTGAAATTTCTAGGATTTTCAAATCGTGCGAAAAACAAATAAGAAGAAAATAAAAATATTGAATAAGTACTGAGAATATAAAAAGGTTATATTTCACAATTTTAAAATTAATTAAACATCATTATCAATGTTATAAATTATAACTTATAATTTACTCAATTTAGTAACGCATTTTAATTATTTTAGGTTGTACTTAGGTATATGATATTTTTATTTAATAATGTAGGTAAGTATGTACTTAATTTAAAATACAATGGTACTGCCTAACTTAGTTGACATTAAGATAATTAAAATCGTTTTGTAAAAATAAAATGTACCAAGATTTACAAAAATGGTCTATTATCAATATATATTAAAAGAAACATAAACATTTAGTACACTGTACTGGTGAATGACAGAAGAATACAATTTTAATTATAAACAATAAATATCATAATTATAACAAATATAATTATTAATCAATTTAATATTTGAAACAAACCATACATTTGTTTTTATTGTTATTATTTGTTAAAGCAAACATTAAAAAAAAAATATAACAATTAACAATTAATTTTTATAAACATTATAGGCAATGACTAATAAATAATAATTAGTAATAAAAATTAAATTGTTTGACTTGTTTTATGTTTATATTTGAATTATTAATATATTATATTTTATAGTAGACGTAAGTTTCATTTTAAAGGTCGTTGCAAAAAATCCACACACAGTTATTTAAATTTTTTTTATACATTTTGTGAAAATAGCAAGAGTCTTACAAAAGTCTTGCGCAAGATCAAGACCAAAACCATTACTAATGTGTATATCCAAGACCAAGACCAAGACTTGTCACCAAGACCAAAACCAAGATTTTAAAAGTCTTTGAAGACGTGTGACGGTCATGGCACCAGAGAACGATCGCCGGCGACCAATGCTCGTCCGACGCGACTTATTTTCCCGTCCCGTCTTGGCCTTTACAGTGTTGGTTGGAGAGTTGACGATATAGCGTGTCTTCACCCGTGATGGTGGTGGTGATAGTAACGTGTAGATCGGTCGCTGCGATGCCTATACTTTGTACTGGCGATCATTGCGTACTGTGTCACACTCCCCCGCCAAACCATCACACGAGTTAGACTTGTACCGGTGTGTGTCCCAAATTTAATTATGACAGATTATGTTGGGTGGCTGAGCTCCTTTTCCCAGCATGTCGACGTTTGAATTCTACACACGACGTAATCCTAAGAAACTTCATTGTTGACAATGGAAATCGTGTCCTAGTAACGCGTCGTAATACAAGTTGTGTAAGATAGTCGCTTCGAATTTGATTTCTAGTGCTCCTATCTTAGCTTTGAATATATAGATGCCACTGGTTATCGCAGTGTGACCATCCGCCATCCGGACGACTTTGTTGATCTATGGGGGGGGTTGCCGTATTTGCGGGCCACAGTCGGATTTATTTACGATTTTCGCGCTTGCGAATCTAATAAAACAGTTACAAAACCTGACAAAAATTTCAGCTCCACTGCTGGAGTCAAAATTTTGTCCGGGCGTGTTCGCGTGCTGTTATTAACCGTATTGCAATCAATCGAGCGGGACCACTAATACCGAACCGCGACAGCAACAGTCTGGTGAACGGTATTAACCCACACTACCATACTATCGCTATCAGTTGCCTCTGTGCTCACCTTTTGCTCTACACTCACTAACTGACCTATCGCGGGATTGTGCTAGTTTCGAGTGCTCGAGCCCCCGTCACCTGTGCGGGTAAACCTGTGTCTCATGTTCCGATTGTTGTCCGAAGAACTCTACAATGGCTCTACAAGAACTCTACCACGTTGGATTCACCAAGTTGAGCGTCATCACCGTATCCGTCTTACCAACCTGTGTAAGGTACACCCGTGGGAGCATCCACAATCATACAACCGGCTTTCCGCGGATCAAAACGACGACAGCCGCGAGAAGCCGCGTCAAATTACTGAGAAAAATATCAAAGTACCGACACTGTGGCAATAGCTGATAATACATAATAATAATAAGCATTCGATAATTGCAAGGTGAATTATTATAATCAACGATTACAATTTTACGGAATGACGATATACGATTACGATTAACAAGTTATTTAACGAAATAAACCTTTTCTTTCGTCCGGATAATTGGACGTTCGATAGATTGACATTCGGATAATTGGAGTTCTACTGTATTTTCAAGTCTTAGGTATTAAAATTAAAAAATTAAATAAGTGGGTACCACTCAGCTGTACATTAGATGTCGAGTACTCGAATGGGTCACTATTATAGATGTGTTTAATTTAAAGTCAATGATAATTGTATACGAAAAACGATTTTAAGTAGAAACGATCTATCAAGGTTACCAAATAATATGCTTTTGATACAGCTATTAAAGTCAATTATGTATTTTACTTTTGTATTATAGTAGATTAATATAGTTTTTTCTAAAAATATTGCATTTATTATATTATTAGTAGGTACCTATATAATAATAAATATTTAAGCCATATTATATCAACTTATATACTTAACTCAAAATTTAATACAATTTTTTCGTAAAGTTAAAGTTTCCCATAAATAATGTTTTTAAGCTACAAAAAAATAATTAACGTATCATTATTTATAGTTTATTGTTTAAATAATTAATTTCGTCCAAATAGAACTTAAAATATCTATTAAAATTAATTATTTATAAACATTTTTTAGATTTTATGATTTCCGCATATAGCCGGAAATGGTGATGGGGCTTGGGGAGACTTAGCCCCCAAATATTGTAATTACTAATAGTTCCCCAAATCTATTTCGTATTTCATGCGAAAACATATGATATAGTTTCACTGATTTTATAGTAGTATGTTACATTATAAAAAATAATTTTAGATTTCAATAGGTGATGACACTACTTTGAGAACTCCACAAGATTCAACGTCTTTATTGTCTATAGCAGGGATCTCCAACCTACGGCCCGCGGGCCGGATCCGGCCCGCCAAGCTTTTTGCACCGGCCCGCTAAGCTAATTAATGTTTTGAAAATAATATATTAATTTTCATTGTTTTTAATTTATTTTTTATTAAATTTATTAATAAATTAAAAAATTATATAAATAAACATACATTTTTTTAAATAAATCTCATCTATTCTTATTTATTTCTCAATTTCATAACCTATCAAATATTCCTAGAATCCTAGATAGACAACATTTTTTTTTCTTTTTAGACAACACATTTCTAAAAATGTTGGCCCGCGATGCCAACGCGTATATCAAATTTGGCCTGCCGTAAAAAAAGGTTGGAGACCCCTGGTCTATAGGTTTCATGTAATCAGTAAACGGTTTTTTTTAGTTAATTTTGTCTCCCCTTTAATTTATAAAGTTATAAATAAAATAACTTAAGATGAATATTATCAAACTACATTTGTAAAACAATAATAATAACAAAATTATTACCAACAATATACAAAATAATAACATTTTTTAAAAAATTTGTAGGATATAAGGATACCTACCTTTATTCATGATATTTTTAAATTCTTAATTTAATAAATTAAATAATAAGCTACAAAAAATAAACAGTTACAACAATAATAACTGTATTTATTTATTTAAATGCAAATGCATTTCAATGTTATAATTGGTAGATAGTTAAACATTAGCCTAACCAATAAGGTAACTTTCTTTTTATGATTATTAACGAATTATAAATTTTAAATGCTGATTATAATATTTTTAACACAATGATTAATAAATTCGACTTTACTTTGTACACCTAAATAAATATATGTAAAATACATGTTAAGTGTCACTAATATTTATTGTTGTTATTAAATTTAAGATACAACTTTTTTTACGTTTAATACGAACATAAATTCTTAAGTATACTTTATTTCTTGTAAAATGTATACAGAAATATATTTATGGTATAATATAATTAATCGTGGGCTGAGAGTAAAAAGGTTCTATGTTTTTTTTTTCGAAATTGACGTTTTCAAATATTCCTAATACGTTTTCAATGGCGCATGTTTTAAGCTAGAAAATATGTTGATACGAGTAATAATGAATGAGATACGCAAAGCAAAAAGGTTCTATGTCTTTGAAATTAATATAGTCGTTATTTTTGAATGTACTAGATAGAATCATTTTACTCCATAACTTTTTTTGAGAATAAAAAGGTTCTATTTTGTATTACAAAAAAATTATTAAGAGTATAAGAGTCCTATCCTTTGTTATTACTACCAATAACACAATAATTTATATTAATATTATGTCGATACGATAATATTATATTGTGCCGTGGTCAAAACAAGACTTGTTTCCCATCCCGCCAATTGGATATAATAAGAGTGCGTGTTATTTTAATATTGTTATCAGTTTATGGGACTGTTATGGAATACAATTTATAAATAGATTGTTTGCTGGATAGTGGATATCTACTTACAAATTCATATTCATAGTTTTGTTTATAGTTTTTTTTTCATAAAATATCATAGTATTATAATGTGGTGAAAGTATAATATTATAGAATAAAATAAAATAAATTGAAATACATTGCTAAAATGAATTTGAGGAAGAGGACTCTACAAATATTTAATATGTTGGCCTGACTGATCAAAATTGTGTAATGGGCTATAGGGTAAATAGGTTCTATCTATTAAATACAAAATATTTAGCGAGTAAAATAGTCCTTTGTATAGAACCTTTTTACTCTAAACTGTTTTTTTGTTGTTTTTTATTTTTAGCGAATCAACTAAAATAGTGAGATGCTATATTCGCATGTTATATTGTTATAGAAAACCTGCTTTATTTTTTGATATCAATTATAAACAATTATCCCTATATGATAAAAAAATATTTGACAACAAACCTTAAAAATGTTCTCCTGAAAAATTAGATATTTTGACATAGAACCTTTTTACTCTCAGCCCGCGTAATAATGCCAGCTTAAAGTTATAGTTTTTCAAATCTCATCAACTAGTTACAATACTCAATTTGAATGTACTTCATAATGTGTGGTTGAACTATAGGTTGATTCGGTATAACTACTTACAATAGTTGTCTGAGAACTGACAATGTCATATTCAGATACATACATTGTAACAGAAGTACTGTTCATAGAATATTGATAGCACTTTATAAGAACACTAGAATAAATTACAGTAATAGAATCCATCCGTTGTTTTATTTCGTTATAAAATGCACATTTGCTGTTTTCTCCACCCTGACTAATAAACTCTTTCGTTTGAACGATTTGTTCTCTGAAGTAATCGGTGGTCTTTTTATACGCAGCTGAAGTTTTTGTTAAATATGTTAATAAATATGTTTTGTAGCAATTTTCCGGTGTTTTTTGAACTGCCGAGACAACTTTTTGATTAATATTATTAAATTGTTTTATACTATTTTCTAGGAATGAATCAACATCGTTTTGCTTATTATATATTTCGTCGCATTTTACTTCAAAATATTTATAAAAATTGTTGACAAAGTCACCGTAATCGATAGTTTGAGACACATATACGTATTGACTAGATGTAACCGGATAAATCGTTCTCTTCAATGGTATCTCCATAGCCGAAGATAGTACTGTTATTTTTTCCTGCGTATCTCTATACACTACGACTAATGCAGCTGTATGCTCTGGAGAACCAGGTGTTGATATTTCAGATATTTGATTTATTGAATCTGAAGATATACTACTTAAATATTCTACATTAGACTGGAATATTTGTTTACTAATATCCAATGATTTTATTACTACTTTCGTGTATTCAGTTTGTTCTGTTTTCTGAATGTAACTTAAACTTTTTTCTATTTTGCACTCAAAAGAACTTTGGAAATTCTTTATAGATTGTGTTATTTGTGTATCACATGTTATGTGTGTATATTGGTTGTCAGTAGACCCACCACCAGAAGTTCTTGGACTCGAATGATTTCCTGGACTCGAATGATTTCCTGGACTCGAATGATTTCCTGGACTTGGATGACTTCCTGGAGTCGGATGACTTCCTGGAATCGGTGGATTTCCTGGAGTCGGATGACTTCCTGGAGTTGGATGACTTCCTGGA